TTTTTTTTTTTTTTTGAGACAGGATTTCTCTGTAGCTCTAGAGCTTTGGAGCTCTGTCCTGGAATTAACTCTGTATATCAGGCTGGCCTCAAATATACAGAGATCCACCTGTCTCTGCCTCCCGAGTGCTGGGGTTAAAGGCATGTGCCACCATTGTCCGGCAAGTCCACTCCTTTTTTTTTTTTTAAATATGTTTATTTATTACATATACAGTGTTCTGCTTGCATGTATACTTGCAGGCCAGAAGAGGGCACCAGATCTCATTACAGATGGTTGTGAGCCACCATGTGGTTGCTGGGAATTGAACTCAGGACCTCTGGAACATCAGGCAGTGTTCTTAACCTCTGAGCCATCTCTCCAGCCCAAGTCCACTCTTAATAATGCTTGAAGTTTTAGCTAAAGTGATAAGACAAACGGAGGAGATTAAAGGGACATAAATATGTATCATTATTTGGAGATAATCCTATACATAAGAGACAAGAAGGATCCCACCAGAAGAGCATAGTAGAGCTGATACTTTCAACAAAGTGGCTGTTTATAAAATTAGATTACAAAGGTTAGTAGCCAGTAGTGAGATACTCAGCAGGAATAGGCTCTTGCCACCAATCCTGATGATTGGAGTTTGATCCCCAGAACCAACAGGGTAGAAGGAGAGAGCAGACGCCTACAGATTGTCTTCCGCCCTCCACATGCGCACTGTGGCATGCCCACACACGCAGACTCACAAATAAATGTGGGGAAAATAAGGAAACAACCTCACTTACAATGACCTGAAATAGCAACAACAAGAAATCCTTGGAACAAGCCTGATCCAGGACGTAAAGATCTCAACAGCTGAAACTTTAAAACACTGAATAAAGAAAATAAAGACACAAAAGAATGAAAGACCTCCTATTTTTTTAAATATTTATTTATTATTATGTATACAATATTCTGTCTGTGTGTATGCCCGCAGGCCAGAAGAGGGCACCAGACCCCATTGCAGATGGTTGTGAGCCACCATGTGGTTGCTGGGAACTGAACTCAGGACCTTTGGAAGAGCAGGCAATGCTCTTAACCTCTGAGCCATCTCTCCAGCCCAAGACCTCCTATTTTTTATGGAAGAACGAATACTATGAAAATGGCAAATTTTATCAAAAGCGGTCTACAGATTCAGTGTAATCCAAATTAAAATTTCAATGCCATTCTTCACAGAAACGGAAAATAAAATAAAAGCCACATGGAAGAACAAAACCGCTAGCAGCTAAAAGCAACGCTGAGGACAATGCCGGAGGGCTCACCATGTCCTACTTCAAGCAAGGCCACAAGCCATAGGAACAAAATCACACAGCACTTGCTCACAATATACACACACAGTGGAATATAATAATAAGGGCGGTGGTGGCTCACACCTTTAATCCCAGCCCTAGGGAGGCAGAGGCAGGTGGATCTAGTTTGAGGCTAGCCTGGTCTACAGAGTGAGTTCCAGGACAGCCAGGGCTACACAGTGAAACCCTGTCTTGAAACAAAGATGAAGGCTTTCATGGAAGTCCAAGGAAGAGTTTGCGAGGGAGTAACTAGCTAACAGTTCAGAGGAAAAGGCTGGGGCTGAGACTTTGCTATAGCAGCCTTGGTCAAGGCTATGCTGAAAAAGGGGCAGGTCGCTGAGAGTCTGAGTTCACTGGAGGTGGGGCTATAACCCCCTTAATTACTGCCTCGTGGAGTTGCTTGCTGAAGGTTAGTGAATGAATGACTTGAAAAGGAAAGGGGGAAAATGCATGTTAGAAAAAGGGCTGGAGTGTTCCATTTGAAAATGTTCAGAGCGGGTCTGGAGAGATGGCCTAGTGGGTGAGAACACTAACTGGTCTGTCAGAGTGACCACATGACTGCTCGCAACTCTCTATAACAATAGAGGGTTTCTCTGTGTAACAGCCCTGGCTCTCCCGGAACTGTCTAGCTCTGTGGACCAGGCCGGCCTTGAACTCACAGATGTCACAAGTGCTCACATTAAAGGCCCACTAGCTCCAGGCTATAACTCTAGTTCTTAGGCCTCCTTCCGGCCTCCACAGATACTATACACACGTTATACACAGACACTCACCCAGACCCAACAACCATGCACATAAAAATAAACATCAAGAAAAGAAAGTGTAGCCTGTCATGGAAGAAAAGAGTAAAGAGGGAGGCTTGGAGCAATAGGACACTGGGCACTTCTTTCCCAGGCTGGAGCTGGGAACAGCAGTGCTATAGAAATTTTCACAAAGCGTTCAGCACTTAATTTTTTTTTTTTTTTTTTTGAGACAGGGTCTCTCAGTGAAGCCCTATCTGGCTTAAAACTTGGTATATAGACCAAGATAGCTTTAGAGGAGGATAACCTTGAACCTTTGACTCTCCCTCCTAGGTGCTGGGATGACAATAAGACTCAACAGCTGGCTCCACACTTCTGACTCCTACAGTTCAGTTGTAGAACACTTGCTGAGCATGCTTGAGGCCATGGGGTCTAGCCTATGGAACCCTACAAACAAATGGTCTGCCCAGGCTCTCCACACCTTGGACCAGGCTGGCCCTGTCCTCCCTGACTAATCACTACAGTTCCACTCAAGTTCCTAAGTTCATAGTCCTCACCCCTCCAGTCTACTCTACCCTCTTCCCCAATTTTTTTTTTTTTTTTTTTTTTTTGAGACAGGTCGCTTTGGGGGCCTGTCCTAGAACTAGCTCTGTAAACCAGACTGGCCTTGAACTCTGAGATCCACCCGCCTCTGCTCTCCCAGTACTGGGATTAGAAGGCGTGTGCCATCATCATCTGGCCCTCTTCCGTTTTTTCACACTGCTGCCATGAACCTTTTTGCTCTTTCCTGGCCCCTCCCCTTCAGTCTCTGGAGAAGTGTGCTTTGGTTCTTAAATCCCTGCATCCCCAGGATATATGTCTGGGCCCAGCGTCTTATGAAATGTTTAGTGACTGAATGACATGGGAGGTGGCTGTTGTCACTGCTGCCGTTTTGTACTCTCTCAGATATAAGCAGGTTGCCCAGCTGGAAGAGAAGACATCTGGCTAGTGTGGAGTCCAGCAGTGATGTGTCTTCCTTCTCCTCGGAAGGTGGGTCCATGCGACCTATGGCCTCCAGAGGCTACATTACCCCTAATTGTTAGAGCTAACATCTTGGAGGAGGGAAGGGCTCTCAGTGGGATTCCTCAGGTGCCCCAGGGTCAACGAGTAAAGGAGCTTGCCGATAACCAAGAGTTATATGGTAGAGACCCCAGCTGCCCAACCTTTCCTTGTCTTCTGCGATGCCGTAGAAGGCCCTGCCTTGAGTCCTCATCACCCCTGTCTTTGGTAAAATACTTTGTGGCCACAAACATCAACATGTCCTTGTAACCCTGCATAATAGCTAGCCCTGTCCCATTTTGTGGGTAGGAGAGGCACAGAAAAGCAAATTGTTAAGGGAAAGAGCCCCAAGCCTCAGGCATGACTGACTCCAGGCTCAGAGCATATGCCTCTATGCTGCCCTTTGCCTCAATTTAAGTGCCAAAAAAAAAAAAAAAGCAGGGGTGATAGTCCAAGGTCCTGCTGTACACATCCCTTACTTCCCCTGGGGAGAAGAGGCATGAGAAAGTGGGTGAGAGGTATTCTGGAATCTCTCGGGAGCCTCACAGTATTGTGGGGGAAAGGGAAGGAGGAGAGCAAGAGAAAGCCTAAGACTACGTGGCTGTCTTCTCTCTCATGCCTGATGTCCTGCCCAGCTCTGCCACTCCCAGGAGCTGGATAAAGGCATAATCACCATGGCCTCTTGGGGTGGGGGGAGGGGAGAGCTAACCACAGTCTTCCAGCCTGGATTACCCCTGCAGGGCTGTTCCTCTGGGAGACGGTGGGGCAGGAGGCATGTTTACCTCTTAGACTTGTGCAGAGAGAAATCAGGGGCTGCCTGGAGCCCTAAGCAGGGTCAGAGATGGAACACTGGGAGTCCCATGAAAAACCCATGTAGCTCAGTAAGAAGTGGGAACCTTCCCCAGCCTCACAGACCAGCATAAATTGGGGCAGGTTGTTCAGCATTCTGTGGTTCTGGGATATTTAAAACAGCCTCCCCACCCAGGTTGGATTTCTCTGAGTAGTCTTGACTGCCCTGGAATTTTCTCTGTAGACCAGGTTGTCCTCAAACTCAGAGATCCACCTGCCTCTGCCTCCTGAGTGTCACCACCCAACAGCTTAAAGCAATTTTTAAAAAGCCTTGTTTGTGTGGCTGTGGTAGCATGTGGAGGGCAGAGGACAACCTGCAGGAGCTCGGTTCCAACTCTTATCGCCACCCACTGAGCACCTTCCAGTCCAGACCATGGTTTGGACTAGTGAAGAGCAGGGAGAGAACGAAGAGAAGTTTGGAGGTGGAGGAGACAGGGCGCAGAGGGACCAGAACAGGTAAGGAGCGTGCTGTTGAGGACCCACTGCCACCCACGCAGGAGGCTGCCAGGCCGTGGCCAATCCCTACCCACACTGTGGAGTTGGAGAGGGCATTCAGTAGAGGGCCTGGGGCAGTGGATTCCCCAGAAGAGGAAGTGACTAAGGCAATACAGAACAGCAAGGGAAGCGTGGCAGGGATCCTCTCTATCCCATGTGTGGCAATGTTTCCACGGATCAAAGCAGTGGATAAGAGGACAGGGCAATGCAGAGAACTGGAGTTAAGTCACCACCTCTGATGATAGCAGTTGTTGTTGGGAATTGCATGGTAGGGAAATGCGGTGTGGGTGTGTTTGGCTGCCTCCCAATGACCCGGATCCCTCTTCCCTCAGGTGACTGCGAGGACACTAACAGGTGCTGCTGGAAACACCAGCAATGTGTCGTCCACCCCTACTCGGAATGTGGCCATCACAAGCAGCACACGCACACCGTCAGACACTGCAACTGTGAATCTAGGTGAGGGCCCCCTTCATGGGGGACCCATCCCCTTCAGGTTCCCCTCCAGCCTTGGCCTGGTGCTGCCAGCCTAACCCCAGCTCTTAAACCTTGCTCGGCTCCAAGAACAATGAATGGGGAGCTCTCTTGGCAGCCTGGGCCAGGCCCAGAAGCAGCTGGCTGTCCCTCTGGGCCCCTGGGGAGTCATGGAGGTATGGGAGCCAAGCTGAGAGTCTGGTGTGTGGCAGGCTGAAGGACTGCTCAGAGAAGACAAATAGTAGCAGCTCCCAAGATGTAGGCCCGACCTGCTCCAGAGATGGGGGCTCAACCTGCTACAACATCACCCATACCCCTCGCTTTGAACTCATCCCAGAGGAAGAGTGTGGGGAGCGGATCTGGTACCGCTGGTGAGTACCAGCTGGCTGGTGGGCACAGGACTCCAGGGTGCCTGATTCAGCTTCATTCATTTCTTCCCGTCTCTTCCCCCCAGGTGCAAACGCTACAGACCCCTCTCTGTGGCAGTAATCCACCATCCCCATTCCATCTATTACACATGTATGGCAGATGACCCAAATGAGGAGGAGGAGGAGGCCCCATCTCCCAGCCCGACTCACTTGTGTCCCACTGACATACCTACTGACCCAGATATCAGACCCGTCACCAGGGCTCCCGACTCAGCAGCGCCCATCACCATCTGGCGTTCTGAGAGCCCCACAGACAAGAGTCAGGAGGGCAAGGTCATCAAGAAGATAAAGAAGAAAAAGGAGAAAGAGAAAGACAAGGAGGAGATGGTGGATGAAAAGGCAAAACCGAAGAAAAATGTCAAGAAGGGCAAGTTAACTAAGAAGAAAAGCCCAGAGAAATCAGAGTCTTCCCCTCCAGAACTAGTCAGGACGTCAGAGTCCAGCCCAGAAAGCCGAGAAGAGCCGGAGAGTGAGGACAGCTATGAACGGAATAAAGAGGGACGCTCCAGTGAAGATACTGTGGAATCACCATCGCCCAAGAAGAAAGAGAAGAGCACCGCCCAAACCAAAAAGAATGGGACAAAGACCTTACAAAACAAGAAGACGAGCAAGAGAAAATCTCCCCCAGTGTCCAACCCCAATCTCAGTTGAGGCCAGGGCAACCAGAGTGAATAAATCAAGCCTGTAACTGACCCCTACTGCTATTCTCTCCCTCCAACAGGGCCTCTTCTGGGGGGAAGTGGCTGGCTCTGGGCCAGAGGCCAGGGGACAATTCTACGATCAAGGAGGAAGTCTATTTCTGTGGGAAGTTAGGTAGGAGGGAGGGAGAAGCCACCTAGGAGCAGGTGGCAGAATCTGTCTAGGGAGGGAGCGGATGTTGGAGACCAGCGCCATTTGTGAAACTCCTGTGGTGGGCAGCACTATGCAGCACCACCTTCAATAAACGGAACCTGCTGCTTACTTGGCCTGCCTTTCCCTCCTCAAGTGGCCCAAGGGAGGGGCTGTAGCACCACAGAGGACACAATCTTCCCAGCTGGTGGAGCCCCTTGCAGCAGACCTGCTATGCTGGAGAAAGTAGAGTTCCAGGAGAAAGCCAACCCTTTCCCACCAACACAATCAAAGGGTGAAGAAAAGCGGGTATGAGTTCAATGCAGGCAGCTGTGGCGACTCAAGCAGGCACAAAGGAGGGAGGCTTTACTCTCCCATACTGAATCACTGCGAGATGAAGCCTCAGACACACAGAACAAAGAAGGCTGTGGGCGGAAGGAACCAGAGCCAGGGTGCTGGCTGATACTGAGCCAGGAAGGGAAAGGGGTGGGAAATAGTCCCTCTCCCATGGCCTGAGTGTCTGAGGATGATCAGGTGAGGGACCCATTCTGGGCCAGGAACTGACTCTTCTGGCTGTCAGAGACCAAGTCACAGCTGAGAAATGAAGGGGTGCCCAGGGGCTCAGGTTTACTTTACTTTTTTAAAAAAAAAAAATTTTTTTTTTTTAAATTATTATGTATACAATATTCTGTCTGTATGCCTGCAGGCCAGAAGAGGGCACCAGACCTCATTACAGATGGTTGTGAGCCACCATGTGGTTGCCAGGAATTGAACTCAGGACCTTTGGAAAAGCAGGCAATGCTCTTAACCTCTGAGCCATCTCTCCAGCCCCCTCAGGTTTACTTTTCTACACTGTGTGGGAGATGAGAACATCACAGTAGTCTGGTGGCTAAAAACCACCAGGCCCAAGCCCTGGCCCAACATTTCATTCAGCCCTGAGTGTGTCACCATCTCCTTTTCATAGATAGGACAGCTAATGTAAGACAGCAGAGACAGGCCAGCAGACGGCTCAGCTCTTGAAAAATGCCTGAGCTCTCAATGCTCACAGCTCTACTGCTCCAGCTTCAAGGGATCCATAACCCTCTTGGTTTTCTGTGCACACACCCACACATGCATATACATAATTAAAAATAAGCTGGGGGTTGTGGTTCACACTTTTAATCTCAGCACTCAGAAGGAAGAGGCAGGTGGATCTGAGTTTTAAGTCTACAGACTGAGTTCTACGACAGTCAGGGCTATAACAGAGAAACCCTATCTCAAAAGACCAAAACCCAAGAAAAACCAAAAACCAAAAAGTCATAAGTGCACACGTGTCATTCCCGCAACTCCAGCATTTAGGAGGCAGAAGCAGGACTGCTGTAACTCCAAGGCCAGCCTGGGCTAGAGACATCACCTCAACACAGCTAACAAAAGATGTAAGAAGCACACAGGGTCATGGGGCTCAGCAGGGAGGTGACTACAAGCAATCTGAATCCTGGTCTCTCTGATGGATTGTGAGAGGAAGTTTTTGGTGTTTCAAACTGATATGAATCAACCCCTCAGCGGGGAGCTGTAGTGAGGCCTCGGCAAGTGCTCTGTAGAAACACTGTTTATTCAAATGACAGGTGAGAAGCAGGTGGCAATAGGTAGATGAGGGTAGGTAGGCAGGGGCTGGCAGGTCAACACCGCTCCACATGTCCCCCAAAGTCCTACTTTGATGCCACCAAAGTATTGTCATCAAGACTGAAAACATTTTCCATCCTCTCCCTCCTGCCTCAAACTGAATAAATAGCATTGGTTTCCCCACATGTACAAGTTGAGCCTGATACAGCCTGTATCAGGTGAGGGCAGACCTCAAAATGGCGTCCAGGGAGACGACGGCTGTTCCATTTCACTGGCCTCCTCCTGCTACATTCTTCTCTCCTAGCCTGGTCTGGAGTAGGAGAACTGCTCCTTGGTGCATACCAGTTCACAAGGCTATCCATCCAGCCACCCATCCCAGCTGACATTAAAGAGAATGTCATTTCATGCCACAAAAAAAAAAAAAAAAAAAAAAAAAAGAGGGGCAGGAAGTGAGGCTGTGGGTGGCCAGGTCTCTTGAAGCCTCAGAGGTAACCACAGTCCGTAGAACAGGCCCCCTACCGATCCATCTCGTCCAGGAGTGGGGTCGCATCGCCAGCAATGGACATAGGGGTGCTTTCAATCATGGGACTGGGAGAGGGTCGAGGGGTCAGCCGCTGTTTCTGTTTCCGTCGTTCTGCCTCCTTCTCCTGTAGCCACTGCTCAGCCATTTTGCCCCAGTCGATAGCTGCATGGCTGTTGGACCTGGAAGAGAAAGGAAGGGCCTGAAGAGACTAGGATTCTTCTGGGTGTGTGAAAGGACACCTTCCTATCAGTCACAGAGGAGATCACAGAAAGGAACCTGGCTCTCCTGGAACTCACGCTGTAGACCACGCTGGCTTCAAACTCACAGATATCGGTCGGCTGCTGTCTCCCTAGTGCTGGGATTAAAGGTGTGCACCGCCACCACCCAGTTTAAGAACTTGATTCTTATAGGAAGCAACCTTTCTGTTGCTTTTCCATTTTTTCCCTCAGAAACCAATACCCATGGGAACATCTTTTTTTTTTCCTCACCGAGACAGGGTTTCTCTGTGTAACAGCCCTAGCTGTCCTGGAACTCACTTTGTAGACCAGGCTGGCCTCCAACACACAGAGATCTCCTGCCTTTACCTCCCAAGTGCTGGGATTAAAGTCATGCATCACTACTACCTGGTTCCATGGGAGCATCTTAACGGTCTTGGCTTTCAAGAAGATATACATGGGCTGCTTATATTAAGTCTTCAGCCCACATGGTACCACCTGCTCCTATTAGGAACCTGCCTGTGCTGTGTCATTAGCTATGTACTCACTTTGGCTGCTGTTGCCGTTGTCGGGAGCTGGAGGAAGGCTGGGGCTGGGCCTGGGTTGACTGTGGGGTAGTGTTGGCCTGGAGTTGGTGGTATTGTGGGGTGGTAATGGGCTGGCTTGGAGTTGTGTAGGAGTAGCTGGGGGTCATTAGTGGTGTGGCCACTGGCTGCTGGGCTGGCGTTGGGAACACCTGAAAAGGAGTGGACAGAGAAATAAGGGTTCGATGTGGGCTTGTTCAGCTTCCTTGTCAATCTGTCAGGCCATGCGAGTTGGCTCCAAACAGTGCTTCCAGGTTACTGGAAGCAGGATGTGTGCTGGAGAATAAAGGAAAGTCAGGAGGATAGCACCAGCATACAAAGTTGCCCACTAATCTTGACCACCTCAGGTGGCTTGAGGGTTCCAAATAGCCCACCTGTGCAAAGGCCAGGCCCTTTCTTATTCCCTTCCTGTCAAAACATTCTGGAGATAAGGAACATCTGTTAGAGATGGTTCCTAGGCCCGAGCATAAGAAGCTCCTGGTAGCAGACATGGCCAGGTGTCTATAGCATCTGAGTCTGGAAGTAAAAGATAATCACCCCCTCTCCTCCCCACCCAGTTCAGGAAGAATTCTCCCGAAAACACATACATGGTAGGCGCTGCTGCCTCCTCCGCTGCCACCATAGCCATACTGGCTGGATGCCCACTGGGCTGGGGTAGCATTTGGATTCTGTCCCTGGCCTGTGACAGCAGCAATGGCACTGAACATCTGGGAAGTCATGTTCTGAGGCAAGGCATTCACAGCCCGTGTCAGATCTGTAACACACAGACAGCCATGTCAGGATGTAAATCCCTCTAGTTCCCCACTGCCCTACAAGTCTCAGCCGTAAGCATCCCACCTGCAAGATTGATGTTGGCTGGGGTAGCATTGATAGAAGCAGGGGTCCGGGTTCTGCTGCTGCTACTGGGAGTGATGCCTGTAAGGAACAGATGCAGTCAGTTATGTTCCTCCAGAAAGCTACTCTGGCTTCCCAGCTCAAGAGTCAGAAGAGCTTTAATCCCAGCCCTCAGAGAGGCAGAGGCAGGTGGATCTCAATGAGTTTGAGGCCAGCCTCACCTACAAAATGAGTTCCAGGACAGCCAGGAGATGGAGAACATCTGTGCTGCAGAAAAGCTGGAGCAGGCATGAGGCAGCTAAGATGATAACTGACTTCACTTCCCTGAGCTAGGACCGTGTCCCTCTCACCACAGCCTACGGTAGAGTACAGTAGAACTCACCTGGAACAGGATCCTGATAGTGATCCTTAAACCACCTGAAGAGCCCATTCACAGTCGGGAAGATTTGGCCCCGGTACCGGAATCCTTCAGGAGTCACTGTTACATATTCTATCCTGAGATTTTATAAGGAAACAAGCATCAGATACTGTTTGTCTAGCTAGTGCTCTATCAACTCGACACAAGCTACAGTCATCGGAGGGGAGGGAGCCTCAACTGAGAAAATGCCTCCAAAGACTGGCCATAGGCAAGCTTGTAGGGCATGTTCTTAATTAGCAACTGATGTGGGAAGGTCCAGTCCATTGTGGTGGGGCCTCTCCTGGGCTGGTGGTCTTGGGCTCTGTAAGAATGCAGGCTGGGCCAGGTGGTGGTGGTGTATGTCTTTAATCCCAGCATTTAGGAGGCAGAGGCAGTGGATCTTTGTGAGTTCAAGGCCAGCCTGGTCTACAAAGAAAGTTCCAGCACAACTAGGACTACACAGAGAAACCCTGTCTTGAAGAACCAAAAAAAAAATAATAATAATAATAATAAAAAAGGAAGGAAAAAAAAAAAAAACAGGCTGAGTAAGTCAGTAAGCAGCTCTCCTCTGCTTCAGTTCCTGCCTCCAGGTTCCTGTCCTGATTTCTTTCCATGATGAATGTGATATGGAAGTATATGCCAAATGAACCCATCCCCGCCAACTTCCTTTAGTCATGATGTTTCATCACAGCAATAACAACCCTGAGCAAGAAAGACACCACTTGTGAACACTTGTGAAAAAGTGGCCAAATAAGTATCAGCTGGGTGCTGGGGGAGGAGAGATGACAGGGACAGGCTGCACATGACAGAGCACAATTAAGGCTAAGGAGGCAGAGGCCTTGAGTGCTGAGGACAGGCTGTCAGGGAAGCTGTGCTGGAGGATGCACCGGAGGGGGTGTCTTCACTGCAGACAACAGGCTACAGGTAGAGACCAAGGGGACAGAATATCAGGTGGGAAGAGGCCTCCCTGGGCAGCTCCAGATAAAGAAAGGAGGATTCTAGCTGGGTGGTAATGATGCACGCCCTTATCCCAGCATTCAGGAGGCAGAGCCTAATGGATCTCTGTGACTTCAAGGCCAGCCTGGTCTACTGAGCTAGGACAGCCAGGGCTGTTACAGAGAGAAAGCCCATCTCAAAACCATCTCAAAAAAAAAAAAAAAAAAAGAGGTGCTGCAGAGATGGCTCAGAGGTTAAGAGCACTGACTACTCTTCCAGAGGTCCTGAGTTCAATTCCCAGCAACCACATGGTGGCTCATAACCATCTGCAATGAGATCTGGTGCTCTCTTCTGGTGTACAAGAATACACCCAGACAAAACACTGTATACCTAATAAATAAATAAATTTAAAAATAAATAAATAAATAAATAAATAAAGGAGAAAAGGCAAACTCTTTAGCACTCGAAAGGTGGTTAGTCTGTCCTCACTCACTATTTGTGAGAGTAGCCAACTGGCTAAGAGGATTGGCCTTACTTAGTTTCATACCTGGTTCTAGTTCTAAGTTTGAGTTCTGTATTTACTGCCCATGTACCAAGCACAACAGCCCTTAGACCTAAAGGACAGTCACAAGGAACAATGGAGCAAGTATACAAGGCAGTCATCATACCTAAACGTAGTGCTATGCTCACTCAAGAAGAGCCACAAACAACTGAGACAATGCTAAACATGCTGAAGGCCTCACTTACACTCAGTCAAAAACTACTTTCTAAATCTCCACACACAGACAGAAGTCAAGGAGTCTCTGCTCCCTTCTATGAGAAGCTACTGTGTTGAATCTTTCATGTCCTCAACTTTCTTGTGGTCTTCATGAGATGTTCATAGTCTCACAGTGTCCTGGCTGCCACTCTAGGTATTTCAAAAAAGAGCATGATATTCCAGGTGCCACAAGGCTCCAGAGCCCCACTATGTATCACATGTGACCAATACAGTGCTAAGGATAGGATGGCTCGTGCCAGGCAGAGAAGGCAGCTATCATCACTACAGTGTTTAAAAGACCTAAGCAGGTCACCCTAAGGAAACTGGACAGGGTGAGCTAGAGAGGTGCAGAAGGAATGCCTCAGACAAAGCAGCCTGCCAGTCATACACGGAAGGGAACAGAGTAGGAGACACATCCACCTCATCCACACTCAGAAGATACACAACGTAGCATCAGTGAGCTACCATGTGCTGAAAGTTCTGGAAAAATGAATGAGGGAGCCTTCCTAATCACTGTAGTGCCTGGGGAGTGGTAGCGAGGGGAATTCCTTTTCTAGTGTGGATGAGGGTGACTTTCTTAGGTG